TTTTATTTCTTTGATTGTTGTTGAATACAGTAATCATCTCATCTAAGGAAAACTAGAGAGATCATTATTTTATAAAATTAATTATATCTTCGACACACCAGGTTTTTATTATATTTATATGGTGCTATTTGTACATCATGCCCTTTTACAATTTTGAATTTAAGAAAGTGATCTTTTTAGATCTCTTATGTGTAAAAGACTGATCTCTTACGTGTAAAAGTAAATCTCTCATGTGTAAAAACAGAGGTAGGGTCATAAAATTTAAATCAAGTTTGTAAAGAGCCAAAAAATTAATTGACCCAATACAAGAATATTACTAGTACTTCTGGTATAAGTTCAAGTCTTATCAAATAATCTTAGCTCACACAATCTGGAAGCAGCCTCTACCTTCACAAGGTAGTGATAAGGTTTGCGTACACATTACCTTCCTCGTATCCACTTGTGGGATTACAATAACTTTTGTTGTTGTTGTTGTTGTTGTTGTTGTTGTACTTCAATCTCAATTTGCTCTAGTATCATATTAAATTAATGCTTAAATTGTTTAGAGAGAACGCATTTTTATGTAACAGAGTACATAAGTCAAGTTGGTTTGGATTTTTCAATTACCAAACCAAACCAATTGTGTCGAATTTTTATATCTATAAACGAAACCAAATCAACAAAAATCAAAATTTTCAATCTCGATTTTTCTCGGGTTTTTTGTATTTTTTTCGGTAAAATCTTCATAGCACAAAACATATAACTTGTGCTCCAAATATTTTTTGTTCCTAGTAGGATAAAACTATATGAGATGATACCTAAGAAAATAACACAAAATAATGTGAGATGAGTCCACAATATTGTACTAAAATATGCAAAAATAAAGATAATAAAATCGCATAAAATAAATATTTCTTAATAAGCTATAATGAAAATGAATATAAGTATTTTAGCATGACTAAAAAGTACTAAATATTAATTATATGACTAAACTATAAAAAAAAATAAGTTATGCATTTTCACTGTCTAAACCAATGCAAAATTAAAGAAATAAATATCCAATATCATTGCGATTCCTATTATTGAATTAAATTTTTATTGTTAGCATTATTATAGATTTGATTTTGCTTTTGGCTTTATTTGAGTTACTAACGTTTATGAGGTATAAAATATATTTGTCCATTCAAAAATTTTAAGTCCAAGCTTGAAATAATATGTTAAAAAAATATAAAAAAGTTTAAGAAATATTTATAAAATATATTATAATAAATATATCTATGTATAAAAATTTTCGGAAACAACCTCTGCCTTTTTAAGCCGGGGGTAAGATCTACGTACACTCTACCTTCCTCAGAGCCCACTTGTGGGACTACACTATTTTTTTTTTCAACACTTGATTATATGTAACGTCGGGTTGGTTTGATTTCGTTTTGTTTTTTTTTAGTTAGAACCAAACCAAACCAATTACGGTCGGATTTCTTTACCTAACAGCAAACCAAATCAAACCAAACTATAATCAGTTTGTTTTTTCGGTTTAACTCGGATTATTGGTTTGATTTCGATTTCTTTTACGGAAAAGGCCTAAAAATGCCACTCAACTTTCAGAAATGGTCTATCCATGTCATCCGTTAAAAAAATGCTCATTTCATCCCACTGCCATTACACATTTGGCCCATCCATGCCATTATTGACTAACGACTCAATTTTTATTTTTATTTTAATATTTATAACACCCACATTCCACGTGTCATGTCGTTATTGGTCCGAGTTACCCATGCCCCACTTAATTTTAACCTTAATTAGGTCCATCTACCCAAACCCACCCGATTAAAACTTACCCGAATCATTAACCCAACCCAAACCCTTCATACCAAATCCCCTTCTCTCCAATCGTCTTCCCCAAGATGTAAATTATGGCAGTGGTTGTTATGACGATGATGGTGATTACCACCGTAACATCTCTGAACACCATCTCCACTGCCACCGCTTGTCACCGGAAACTTCCACTCTTCTTCTTCTTCTTCTTCTTCTTCTTCTTCTTCTTCTTCTTCTTCTTCTTCTTCTTCTTCTTCTTCTTCTTCTTCTTCTTCTTCTTCTTCTTCTTCTATTTCTTCATCATTTTCTTAAATTGTTTCAATCACCTCTTCTTCATCGTCCAGGGGGAAATCTTCGTTTTCCTTTTCTGTTTCTTCTTCTTCATCACGAATGAGATGTAATCTCAGCCGTCCATCTTGGCCGGAAGCAAGGAGAGTTTCGGGCCGACCAATTTTCACCTCTGTCAACTCTAACCTTCCATCTTTTCTCACCGCACGCGTGAAGAAATTTGGCTTTCCATCTTGGTTTAAGGACGATAATAGCGGCGGAAACTTCTTTTCTTTCTTCTCCGAATTACTTCTTTGCCAGCACCTTGAACTAAGTGGGGAAGACGACCGGAGAGAAGGGGATTTGGTATGAAGAGTTTGGGTTGGGTTATTGATTTGGGTATGTTTTAACCGGGTCGGGTTTGGGTAGGTGGACCTAACCAAGGTTAAAATTAAGTGGGGCTTGAGTTAATTCGGACCAATAACAACAGGACACGCGGAAATGTGGGTGTTAAAAATATTTAAAAAAATAAAAATTGAGCCGTTAGTCAATAATGGCATGGATGGGCTAAATGTGTAATGGCAGTGGCATGAAATGAGCATTTTTTTAACGGATGGCATGGATAGACCATTTTTGAAAGTTGAGTGGCATTTTTAGGCCTTTTCCGTTTCTTTTATATACCCCTATTTCTATATAATTAATTATGTATAAAAAAGTACTCCCTCCGTTCCAATTTATGTGAACCTGTTTGACTGGGCACGGAGTTTAAGAAGAAAAATGAAGACTTTTGGAATTTGTGGTCCTAAACAAGTCCAAATGGGCCCCAGATTATTTGTGCAGTTATAAAAGCTTCTCATCAAGGGTAGAGTTGTAAGTTTAAGCTAAATTGTTACCAAATTTAGAAAGGGTTCATTCTTTTTGGTACAGACCAAAAAGGAAATAGGTTCACATAAACTGGAACAGAGGGAGTAAATTTTATTGGCATGAATTGGCTTTGCTACCGCTCACCAACAGAAGGTAATAACATAATTCCGAAGTCTTTAAATCAACTAACATGAACCAAAAACTTTATTCTATTCAAAACCATGACGTTCGTGACACAAGTGTTGACATAAAGTCAACGATTTGCAATTTGATTTCTAGCATTATCATTATCTGTTTCACCTACAATTATATTTTCAATCAAGTTAGTTACGTACCCTTTCTTAAACGAATAAGTGAAGAGAAATTTATATTAAATGCATTATTATTGGATCACCAAGAAATACTCATACGAATTTTAAATAGGATATCATAAATGATACTCCCTCCGGTACTTTAATTGATTTATTGGTCTGTTTTATGGTCCACAATATTTGATTTTTTCAAATATCAAGAACGAATTAATTATTTTTTCAAAGCTGCCATTGGAGTAAAGAACCTAATAATATTTGTTATATTTTCGACGAATAAATTAAGAGTAATTTGGTCAATTTTATTGTTAATTAATTCTAAAAGGTGCATTTATTAATATATATAAAAATAACTAAAAAATCAATTAAAGTGAACACGAGGGAGTAACCTTTCTAGCCAAATGGATTTATAAAAAGGACCAATTATGTGTATTTTAAAAGGGAATATTTTGGAAAAGGAGCAAGTCTACGATCTCAATTTTGGCATCAATAAACTTATGTAATCTTATCACACCTGTATTACAATAGATTCTTACAAGAGATTATGACAAGTAATTCAACCTACACAAAGCACAAAAGCTGAGTCATTAGGCAGCTTTTGCCAGACAAGTATTATTATAAATATTTGACAGCGAACTCAATTATTACTTTCCAGTCTACTTTAATTGATTTTTTTTAGTTTTTTTTGTTATTCACAATATTTGTTTTTTTCAGATATTAAAAAAGAATTAATTAATTTTTTTAAAGTTGCCCTTAAAGTAAAGAGCTTATGAGTATTCGTTATATTTTCTGTGAACAAATTAAGGTTAATATGATCAATTTTATTGTTAATGAATGCTAAAAGGTAAATTCCTTAATATGTGTAAAAAGAACCAAAAAATCAATTAAAATAAATTAGAGAGAGTATTTTATATAAACTTGAGAATTACAAGAACTCGTAAACTTCAAATCTCAACCCAACTCTAACCTACCATAGTACTCCTCCAACTCCAATTTTCTACACGAGTTTCCTTCCACCATCCGGTTAATTTCAAACATAAATAAAAAAAAAGTTTTTTTTTTCCTTTTGACTGACACTAAATGAGTCAACTTCCTAAATTGATAGATCATAGACTAGCATTTGTCTCAAAAGCAGGTGAAAAAGTTTTTCCTAAATTTATTTTTTATTTTTTAACGGGCAAAAATAGTTAAAATTTGATTTTATTTCAACCAAATGTCATTAGAGATTTTTTTTTAGTTATGCAATAACTGAAAACCTTAAAAAATTACTCTCGATGTATTTTTAATTTTTGCAAAAACTGAAAAAAAATTCTTTAATGTTATTTGCTTGATAATCTTTTTTTAAAAATTTGAAAAATAAAAATTAATATTTCAACACTTATCAAACGCCACCAACTAGCCATGTCACAATCTTGGGACAAACATTGAGTAATGGGATCAACTTATTTCCCCCCTCCAATAAAAAAAATCACCCATAACACACAATCAATTTCCATCCCTTCAAATAAATAAAGAAAAAGAAAATTTTCACAAAAAGAAAAAAAAAAAATCATTCCCTTTAAGTTTTTTTCCCTCACTTGGTAATTAGTATCCGTTTTGAGGCACGCTTATTTGGATTTGCGCTGGAAAATTTCACTTGCTCTCCGGTAATTTCATTTTCACACCCGAAACTAAGACCTTTAAATAAAAATAAAATGAAGGGGTATTTTAAATGCATCACCAACCTTGGATGGTAATCCCCTTTAAGTTGCTTGATCTTTCGTGACATCAAAAGCTCTTTTATCATTAATAAATATAATTTCCTTTTCTCTTTCTCTCAAACTCATCTTCCCCACCATCCAAAGTTCAAAAACGTAACCCCGTCTTTTCTCCACAATTTATTTAAGAAAACAATACATCTTCATTTCCATATATGGAAGGTGGTGAACTAAGTGAAGGTACTCCAGAAGAATTAGGTGAAAACAGATTAAATTACTCTGGCTATGGCTTTATATTTTCTGTTGGAATCCTTATTATCCTCATAGTCATTACCTATGCTTCTTATTTGTACATTCGAATGCGATCTCGCAACAATTCTGCCACAACAATAACAACAACAACAATAACGACAGTTGAAAATGGAATGATTCTTATTCAACAAGGTATTGACGAAGATACTATACGGACCTATCCAAAGTTATTATATGCACAAGTTAAGGCTCACAAAATAGGTGACACTGCATCTTCTTCTGGCTGTTCTATTTGTTTGGCTGATTATAAAGATAAAGATATGCTTAGACTATTGCCTAATTGTGGCCATCTTTTTCATATCATGTGTATTGACCCTTGGCTTAGGCTTCATCCCACTTGTCCTATTTGTAGAAATTCTCCACTTCCTTCTCCTTTAGTTGAGGTGGTTCCTCTTTGATAGGTTATATGCTATGCGAATCTGAATTAATCGGATCAATGGAATAGTTATACAAAAAAGAAAGTGGTTCTCTTGCAACAAGGGAATTTGAGTCCATTAGTTACTCCTCATCAACAAATTCAATAAGGTAGATGGTTTCTTTTCTTTTTCAGTTCTTTCTACTTTTATTTTTATAATATTTTCGGATCATTGATACGCATTTCGGATAATTTACTTGGTATCAAACCGCTTTCACCTGTACAATTATCGAGATAACTCCGTCCATCAAAACTTAAGTAGATGAAAAGAAACCACCTAGTATTTTTTTCTTCCTCTGATGTAATTTGTTCTTTATTATTCTCTTCATGTTTTTCTTGTCCGGTAAATACTGCAAAGTACTATACAGTCTAGGTTACTTCACTTGTACAAAGCATCCCGCGATAGTCTATTCTAATGCAAGCATTAGTGTCTGATTCCATGAATTGAACCCGTGACCTATAAGACATACAGAGATGACTTTACAATTACCCCAAAGCTCACCATCATAGCATTTATTTCAGGCAGAGTTTTCTTTTTCTTGTTCAGATACACTGAAAATAGCCACACAATGATGTGAATTGATTGCCATATGCCAACGAAATAAATAGGCAAAGTTGTAATCGAAGAATTAATAAGAATAAGGCAAATCATGCATATAGTCAATTTGACCACCTTTCTTGAAAAAATTAAATTATGTATATATGTAAAATATTAAGTTTTAGAGGTGTATAATAAATATTGAACATCCTTTATCGGCAAATTTTTTCGACTTTTTCAAATTTGAATACCCTAGGAAAATTTTTTAGCTTCGCCACTGATTGCGTAGATGGCTTTGAGCTGGCAAATCAAAAAAACAAGTGGTTTATACTATACGAGTTCCAAGGCATATATAGTGGAGGGCATATTAGAGATCTGGAGATGCAAAGAAATTATTGTTCTGACAAACTTTTAGATTTTAAATATTAGCATCTAAATGATCATAATCTATTCATAAAAATCAAAATCAATTAAATTATGATCTCTTATTCGAAACATAGTGTAAAAGTTTTTGATAATCTTGCTACATATACATGTGTGTACTGACTTGATGTTTGGAGATCAAGAAGTTGAATGTTCGTCTTTTTTTTTTTTAGCATAGTTAGAAAACTGTAATTTCTAGATCATTAAGATTCGAACTCGTTATACCACAATATAAATTGTGATATTTTAGCAATTAGAATACCCACTTGGAGAGTCGTGATTGGGTATATTGATATAGTGATTACTAAGAGACAGACAAGAGAGAGTAAGTAATAAATATCGTACATTTCCAGTTAGGTTCGGGTTCGAGTCATCTCGGGAGGACAAAGTGGGAAGCTCCCGAGGAGGAATAAAAAAAAATACTCTTGTGCACAACGAATGACGTGTTATAAATAGAATTCTATTTAAGGTGAATATCTATATTCTAGAGAGATTCTAGGATTTATTACTTGGTGGCTAAGTCACCCTCTCCCTATAAATAGAGGGTTCTATTCCATTGTAAATCATCCCAAATCAATAAGAATTCTCTCTCCCAACTTTTCTCTGCAATACTATTCTTCTTCTTTTATTGTTTCATAACACGTTATCAGTACGAGACTCTAACCAATTGAGTAGAAGCTTTGGGATTTAGCATAATGACTGTCAATTGTTCCATGAACTTCCTTCATGATTATATTCTGAATTTAATTAAGGTAAGTATTTTACCGTATTTTTCTCTTTCATTCTATAATTTGATTTTAAATACAAGCAAAGACAATAAATCTTGATTTTAACTCTAATGGAGTTTGCAAGAAATTATAACCACCCAAAGTGGTAAAATTTCTGTGTCTTGCCATGATCAAATTCAGGTACGATTGTGGGCAAAGAATTGAAAACTCGTCCCATTGAGTTGGCTCCATTCTCATTCCCTTAAGAGAATGTGATAGCAATTTGTAATAAGTCTGAAAGAAGACAAAATTATTACCATAAAGGTATCAATGAATGTGGACGTGGCAATAGACGAAATTATAATCGTCATCATTGTGGTAATGAGAACAATAAGAGTTCTCAAAATAATCCTTCACTCTGTGAAAGTAATATTTGTCATCGATTTGACATGAGACTTTATAAAGCACATATAGATGATTATGGTCCATTCATGATGTGAATGTGACAATATCTGACTTATGAATACATATTCATTTTTGGAAGAATATGAACATGCTAGTGGTAGTGAATATACCACACTCACCTCTAGAAGGAGGTTTGAGATGATATAAGAAAATAATATCATTATTATGGAATGAATTGTCATTGGTCACGTACCTATTGTATGCCAAAATATTTTGGCAATTTGATTATTAAAGGACAACAATAATGCAAGAAACATATCTTGCATATAATTTTGACCATGCCTATAATGGTATAACTTTCTCTTTAAAAGAGATATTCATCATATGGATGTTGATGAATATGTGATAGTACAAAATTAATTGAGAGCTCTAGAAGATCCAATTATACTATTTTGGAAAAAATTGATTATCAATAAGACGTTGTGTTGTAGTAAGTCTCAAAGAAACTTATTCAGTTTCTAAAGTATTCGCGAAAGCGGTTGGTTATATTGAGACGATAAATAAAGGAAATATTTAATATTTTCTATTACTACAACTTGTAGCGGGGTAATATGTATGTGAAAAGCTACCCGCTTTATTCTCCAGTTAGAACTACACGAACAAAAGAATGCCACAATAAAGAGAAGTTTATTGATATAAAAACCCATATCATAATAAACTTGGAGTTTATTGATAATTGCACACGTCATGGTGTAAATCTGAAGTTTATCAATATTGATAATTTATTCAGTTGACATAATTGGTTTAGCCATATCAATTTAAGTATGATGTGCAAAAATAAAAGAGAATTCACATGGGTAAATATTAAAGAACTAGATAGTTCTTTACGAATTCTCCAATGTTGCTTGTTCTCATTAATTAATAGACCAACAAAAATTGGGATTGAATCCCATGAATGCTGGAAATATCAAAGGTGAATATGGGCCCATTCACCTGCCATGTATACCACATAAGATGCATCTATGAGATGGTTACATGTGCGATTATTAATAACCCGCAACATGGTATTTTGCGAGGTAACTTGCTCAATAATTTAATTTCGAGCATAATCTCCAGATTTTCTATTCAAGAAGTTCATCTTGATAAGTTGGTTTACATCACAGTTGGTTTAGCAAAATAATTTATTGAGTGCCTCCACTTAATAGCTAAATTATTGCTTATGAGAACAAAATTATCTATATCAGTTTAATATACGGTATATACCAAAGTATATTATTTTCTCCCTTCACAAGTGGTTCAGGGTCAGGAACCAAATAATTCCATCTTATTACTATTGATGTGCGGTGTATATTTTGATTAACACCATAACGCACAAAGATGGGTTCTCAAAGTTGAGGAAACAAGTTAGTTTTTCTAACATGAGGGGAAGACATGATAAACAGTTGAGAAAAAGTTACGTGGAATGAATTATCATTTGTACATATAGATCCTCGAATAAGATAATATGAACTTGAAATTCATAAAAGGATAATTCATTTGCAATATATTGCAAAGCATGCCAGACGCATTTGCTGACCCAAAGAAAGTAACTATATTCTCATTGCAAATGCTCCTATTAAGTCCTAGAAGGACAATGTCTATGGTAAGCTTAAAGCGTATAGACAATCGGTTTCAAATAAACTTCTTGATAAAGAAGATGAGCAAATGATTAAAATAATCATAATAAAGGAGGCAAGTGATCTAGAAGATCACATGACATAACACTTCATAAAATCTCATGAGAGATTCAAGTACCTGAATATATGAATGAAGAGATCTCTATGTTATGTCTTTATGAAAAATAAGGAGGTTGGAACCGATATAGAATGTTTGTCGACGACATCTATAATAGCGCTAAATATATATATGAGGATCTTAAGGCTGGAGAAATAATTCAAGTAGAATTTGGTTTCATATGAAAGACAAGTAGTTTTGGACCTGCAGTTCAAACACTTGAAAGTATAAAGTCAATAGTACGTGCAATCAGTTTTCGATATTGACAAGAGGCTGAATTTAGGTAATTTAGCGATTATTTATGCTCCCGTTTGATTATGTTCCGATGTCATAATGTGGTTAATTGATTAAAAATGGACTCTAATTGGGAATTGTATACATTGCAGGATGAAGAGCCTATGTGATGCCTTAAAGAGGTGATTGGAACTACTTTAGAGCAAAAAAACGACCCCTCGGAGCTGAGTACGCACGAAGACGAGGAAAAAATCAAGGAATTGAGGACCTGGGCTAGCGCGCCCAGGTGCGCGCCCGCGCTAATTTAGCGCGTTCAAAACAGTAGGATTGGCCAACTAGCGCGGTCAGATGCGCGCCCGCGCTAGTTCGAATTCCGAAAATTATTTGTCAGGGGTATAATTGGAAATTTGGAGGAAACTCCACTTAACCTATATAAAGTCAAGCTCGCCTAAGGATTATTTATCAAGGTTTTCATAGTCTAGTGGGAGAAATAGAGAGGCAAGAGGCAAGGAGGAAAATTAACCATCAAGTTCTTCTTTTCTTCCCTTTGTTTTTGCTAATTGTGATGAAATTGAACCTTATTGTGATGAACATGAGTATGAGTGGCTAAACACCCATTGTTCTGGGGTTGTGATTTAGCCATGAATATTGTTGTTTGATTTTAACTTAACCTTGATTATAATTCACCAACATATGGTTGTTTCTTCAATTCTGTGTTTAATTGCTTAATTGTCTGGCCAACAGTTAGGTTCTATTTACTATCTATGCTATGCTTGGGAAAGCCATGTTTAGATTAGAGAAGAATTGAAGAGAGCATGATCTTAACCCTTAGGGGGAGCGGATTTGTGGTTAGGATAGGAATATACCTAGTCACCGTGCTTAATTAAATATCGCAATCTTAATGTGTTCTTAATAGATTGATTTCATACGAATATAGGCATTAATCTATTGAGAATAGGTGAGTAGTACTTCGGGAGAAGGCAATGAGAGCATTTATCGATTAATTAGCAACCATGAGTGAATTATATGAAAGGGAGAGTTAATTAGAACACAATACGAATGGTGAATCGATCACAACCCTGGAATACTTGTCTCTACTGAATACACAACAATCAACTTGTTACTTGATAATTTAGTTAGTATTTAGAATCGTAGTATAGTATAATCATATTATTGATGCTTTTAGCTAGATTGAATAGCAAGTTCAGTGATTTAGTGAGTAGTTTATACAAGTCTCTGTGGGTTCGACACTCAACTTATCATTATATTACTTGTCGACCACGTATACTTGCGTGTGCGTTGGGGAGCAACAGATATCTTATATGTCTAGCATGACATGAAAACTTGATATGCAT